CAGGGACTAGCTCAAGAATAAACAAGTATGTCTTGGAGGAAATGTAACCAGGGTGCTCCTTAAAGGAATTTAAGATGTTGAAACTTTGCCTCACATAATTTTTAGGCTTGTTTTTATAAGGGACTAGTCTTTGGAAAATTGTAGTATGTTGGGAAAGGTAGAAGGTCAAAGAAAGAAAGGAAGATCCTTTACCAGATGGACTGACACAATGTCTGTGACAACGGGTTGGTGCATAACAGGGATGGGACAGGAGAGGACAGTGGTCAGCTCTGTCGTTCATAGGGTCTCTATGAGTCATACTCAACTTGATGGCACTGAACAACAACAAAACAACATTAACTACTAAATTTTTATTCAATCTATGCAATCTTCGGACATCCTCACTCAAATCAACCACCGTCTAGTAAAAATCAACTCATAGCTCACCATCCAGCAAGGTTTCTGAGGCTGTAAATTGCATGGGAGGAGACTGCCCATCTTTCTCCCTCAGACTGCTGATGGATCCAAAATGCCAACATACCCTTTGGGTTAGCAGTGCAACTCCTTGTGGGCTAGGCTGCCAGAGCGCCCTAATCTTTGTAAGAAAGGTAACATATACCATGCTTACCACTACCAGTTGCTGTGGAGTTGATCTTGATTCATGGCAAACCCATGGGTGTCAGACTAGATCCACGCTCCACAGACTTTACAATGACTGGTCTTTGCAGGTCTTTCTTCTAGGGTGGATTCAAACTTGCAACCTTTCAGTTAGCATCCCAGTACATCAACCATCTGTACCATCACTGATAATAATCTATATTGTGTATTCTAAATATACTCACAATACAGCCTGAACCACACTACCATGTTGTCTGTTGGAATAAGGACTACCCTACAGACAAAATTATTTAGAAACAATAAAGAAGAAATGGATGAAATTGCCTTAGACAAGTAATAGAAGCAACGATGAGTTTACTTGTATTTTTTTACTTGTCCCAGTAATAATAATTTTATCATTCTGCTTCTCCAGTGTCTTTTAATTTGTAAAAGCACATCCTTTTGATCATGTTGACTTATGAAATGTAATTTGTGTTACCTGCATTAACCTGGTAGAGTAATGGAAACCCAGGAAGGTGAGGTACACATTTTACAGGGCTGACAAAGTATGCCCCAAAGGCTGGTTCTAATTGTGGTCTATGTTTGTACAGCCTATAGATTAAGATGAATTACACTGGGATAGTTGGCTGTCAAGGACTTCTCCAGAGTATTGAAGAGCAATGATATCTGGAGACTAAGGTGCGCCTGATAGCATAGTCTTCGCAATTACTTGCTATGTGTCAGAGAGCTGGACAATCACTAGAGGTGATAAAAAAAGAATTGATGCCTTTGAGCTGTGGTGCTGGAGAAGAGTATTGAATATATCATGGACTGCTAGGAGAATAAACAGATTCTCCCTGGAAACAGTGAAACCAGGCTGCTCCTTGGAGGCAAGGATTCTGAAGCTTTGTCTGACATACTTTGGGCATATTGCAAGGAGGACCAGTCCTTGGAGAGGGATGTCATGCTTGGGAGGATGAAGGGACAGTGCAGAGGAAGACCCTCGATGAGATGGACTGATTCAGTCACTGGAGTAATGGGGGTAGGTGTGTCAGAGACAATAAGACTGGCAAAGGATAGAGCAGGTTTCCGGGCTATTGCGCATAGGGTTGCTATGAGTTGCAAGTGACTTGACGGCACATAACAACAACAACAGCAACAACAACAACAATAGATTACAAGTGCTTTTTACATTTCAGAAATAAAGTTTCCAAATGAGCCGTATCAATTCCTTTGTGTATCTGTCTATGGTGGTCTCTGCACTACTATTACCCACTTAAGTAGTCACAACAGGGACAATATGGCCACAGAGAGGAAAGGATTTGTTCTTGCTTTTTCCAGGAAAACAGTGTCCGTTTTTTCACAGACCCATGGGCGAGGCATGAGCAGAGCGGAAATTTCTGAGAAGCAGTCTAGAGTCCTTTCCGCTCAATCTTCTGCCTCCTCTTACGTCATTTCAGGAGGTGGCTCCTTCAGGTATGTGTTGGAGGGATAAGAGGGAGTCTATAGACCAGGAATTTCGTTACTTGAACTACTAGAAAAGCACTGTGGCCAGAGTCAGACAGAGCAAGAGGAGAAAAAACAAGTGGCCATGGCATTCTGAAGAATTCAGCCCATACAATAATGGAATGAGGCATTCTCTAAAACCTTTTTACTTAAAATATAAGCTCAAAGGCACCTTTAAAGAGCTAAGAAAAAACCAGATATGTGGATTAGGAAAGCTGATTGGGTTGCACAAACATACACAGCTAAGGCAAGCGGAGCTGACACATGAGCATTTGATTCCCCTATTAGGTCAATTAAGATTTCCAGCGTCCATCCTCCTGTCATCACATCTTAACAGGTAAACAAAACACATTTGACAACACAGAAAGAGACTTGAACTAAAAACACTACCAGGGCCATCTGCTACATCCCTTTTCTGAAATAACCTCAAATCTTTGCAAAAGAATTATACTTTTTAGATTATATTGAATAGATTGATTAAGTAAGAACTCTACGCTTACAAAAGGAATATGAAGCATATACTAAAAACAGTCATATAAAGGAATTATTGTAGCCATTTCCAGCTAAAATCTTCTGAGGGCTCACTCAGTACCTTTTAGATTCTTTGGTACTTTTACACAGTGGGGAATTCACTCCTTTTTCAGCGTAACACTACTGAAAGGCTGCAGGCAGTATACAATCCTTCATGTCCCCAATGCTGTGAGGAAGCCTCAAGGTATGAGGTTCTAGACCTAAATGTAACGGTCTGTCTGTGGTTTAGAACATACTGTGTTTTTCTATGTACTTTAGGTACTGAATAATAAAAGCTTAAATGGCTTGTTTTGTAACTCTTCATACATCATATGTATAAAATACACATGAATGCAGGTACCTTAAGCTCACGATGAAGGGACCTTTTCGGTTTACAGTATTATTTTGTTAGGCACCGTTGAATTGACTACAACCCATGGTGACCCTATGAACAGCAGGTGTGTGCCCTATCCTGTTGTATCCCCATCGTCTCTGATAGTCTTGAGCTCATTGTTACAGTCACCCCGCCAATCCATCTCACGGAGGGTCCTCCTCTCTTTGCTGATCCTCCAACCATTCCCAGTATGATGTCTTTTTCCGAAGACTGGCCCCTCCCACAGTTTCACCATCCTTGCCTCTAAAATCCAGAGTAAATTTATGCAATTCTGGCATTTGGTATTTAAGTTATTTTTAGACAGACTCCCTGCGTGATCCACCTAATACAGAATTTATAACTTTAACACCATGCTGTTTTCATTCTCTTTCTCTCTTTCTCTCTCTCTCTCTCTCTTTCCCATTGTGTCAGACACAATTCACAGATGACCCTCCACTGGATTTTCTGTAGACTGTAAATCACAAAGAAGGAGACTGCCCATCTTTCTCCCACAGAGCTACTGGGGGATTTGAACCACTAAAGAGGTACCACTCCTGGATTATCAGCATAATTTCTTATGTACTAAGACACCAGAACCCCATTTTTAAAATCTAACTTGGTGATATTTTCTTATGGGTTTGTATAGCATATACAATTTTATTTGCCTCATTTCCTCTGGTGCAATTAACTGCCTCTGGAAACCCTCTGGAAGGTCAGCTATGGGTCAGTTCAAACTCTACAGTACACATCAACATCAACAATAACTTGTGTTATTTTCTTATGCATTTGCATTGCAAGACACTATTTAAATTTTATTTAGCTCATCGTCCCACTCATCTATTTAATTTTCTTATGATCTTAAACAGATCTGCATTTTAAATAACCAGTGGTAACAGAAACGCAAACTGCGGCTTGATTTCCCTCATTTCATGACAGCAACCATCTAGATGGGACTTAAGCACTGCTTTCATAAACCATCACTTAGTTCCCAAGAAGAGCTAGCTCCTAAAATAACCAAGCAATAGCACTGACTTCTCTGAGTTGTACAAAGGGCACTTACTAAAATAGTTCCTAAGACTGAAAAATCTTCTAAAAGTGACTGTTGTGGGGAGCTCTGGTGGCCTATTGGCAAGGAGCTGCAACTACAATCCCAGAGGCTCACGGTTAGGATCCACCAGATGCACTGCCGGGAAAAGGAAGGACAATCTCCTCCTGTACCAGTCAGATCTGATTTGACGGTACACGCACACAAATATATATATATATATAGTGACTATTGTAAACCCATCATTTCCATTAATACAATGAGCTGAGCATCTTTGCTGAAAAAAAGAAAAAAGAAAAAAAATATTTCTTCCTTTTCTCAAGACCTGAAGGAAGAGCATTAAATAAATACACACATTCTTGAAACCCTCCTAGATGCCTGGTGGCACCACAGCGACAGCCATGGTAGAACTCTTACAGAAGTAAGATAGAAAACCCCAAAACCAGTTCCCATGCACTTGACTCCAAATCAGGGCCCCCTCATGTGCGAGAGCAGAACTTGGCTCCTTAGGGGTTGCCAATGCTAAGTTTTCAGAAATCGACAGTCATGCTTCTCTTCAATAATGTCTCTAAAAGGACTCGAACATCCAGCCTTCCCAGAAGGTAGTCACCTGTGCTACTCTTACGCCAATGAGACTGCTCGCAAATTACTTGCTTTAGAGTCAGGACCGACTCATAGCTGATTCTGCCCTGGGTTTCCAAGGTGATAAATCTCACATGAGGAGATTGCTCACCTTTCTCCCGCAGAGCAGCTAGTGGATTCAAACTGACTGCCTTGGGGTTGGCAGTGCAACTCTGTACCCACAAGGCCAGCAGAGCTCCTAAGAGTACAGTTCTAACTAAACTCATAAAAGCAAAGATAAGATCGCAAGTCTAGCTAAAGTCCTAAGAGCAAGGATGGAAAAAAGAAGCTTTTCTCTTCACAGGCCTTTGGAGTAACTCCACCTCAGAGAGCTCAGGAGATTCTCCTGAGGTTTAGGAAGCGCATTACCTTATTCTGCTCACACATGTACTGTATCCTGAGGGTGTCCATTGCTCGGATCATGGCTTGCATGGCGGTGAAGATGTTCTGGTAAACCAGCTTTGTGAAGCCCTTTCTGTCTTCATCGCTATAACCAGATCCATGGATAATTCTCATCTGCTTGATAAAGGTGCTTTTTCCACTTTCACCAGTTCCTGTAAGGGAAAGTAAGCCAAAAACCCAAGTGAGAAGCAGCACACTCCACAGGCTTTAAAAGGACATATTGAGAAAGAAAGCCTCTCTTGGTGGTGTTGGCTCCAGGGAGCCAGGACTGATGGGAGGATGGCAGGGACTAAGCAAGGGGCTGTAAGCTGACCAAGCGATCTCTGAAAGGTCACATGGCTAGTGAAAGAAAGATGGGTCTTCTGAGATTCCAGAAAAATAAAAAAATAAAATGTCTTGGTGATAACTGGAAGCTGAGCTACAGCAGCCCAAAGGAATATGAACTCTGGAGCCCACGTCTACAGAGAGAGCTCCAAACTCTCGCCTCCCGTCTGGAAGACGACAAAGCTGAAGCATGAGGAAGAACTTCCAGACACAGGAGTGTGCTCCCCAGCCTTCCCCTCATTACCTCCCTCCCATCTCTGAGAGGACACATCAGAGATGAGAAAAACTGGGAATCAGTGACAAGCCAAATGACTGGTGATTGGTGCAAACACAGAGAGCTGAGGTCAGAAGTCAGGCTGTGCATACTTCAGTCTAAAAGGTTCATCACAGATATCACCTCTCCTGGAAAGATGTCTCTTCTTCTCTACACCCCAAAGAGTTAAGCTTGCCCCCTGGAGTCAAAATGTCAAGCACTGTTTGTGCTCCAGTTGTTGTTGTTATATGCCGTGGAGTCACTTGTGGCTCACAGTGACCCTATGTACAACAGCTCTGAACTCTGCTCTATCCTGAGCAGACCTTACTGTCTCCAACACAACTAACCTCATTACTCCAGTTACTGAGTAAATCCACCTCATCCAGGGTCTTCCCCTCCTGCATTACCCCTCAACCCCCACAAGCACAATGTCCCTCTCCAAGCACTGGTCCCTCCTTGCAACATACCTCAAAGTATGTCAGGCAAAGCTTCAGAATCCTTGTCTCCAAGAGCAGCCTCGTTTCATCCTCTCCAGGACATACCTGTTTGTTTTCTTAACAGTCCATGATATACTCAATACTATTCTCCAGCACCACAGCCCAAAGGCATTAATTCTTCTTCTAGCACCCCTAGACATTGTCCAGCTTTCTGATGCATAGCACGTAATTGTGAAGACCATGGCCTGGATCAGGTGCACCTTAGTCTCCAGAAAGACATCATTGCTCCTCAGTATTCTGGAGATGGCCCTGACAGTAGACTTTCCCAGTACAATTTGTCTTTTGATTTCCTGGCTGCTGGTACCAAGCGTGTTGACTGTGGAGCCAAGCAAATTAATAACAATGGGTAAATCCCCAGGCCACTCTCTGTACTACATCTTTATTTCCATAAAGGCTGATGTTAACTACTGTCCAGTGGGTCAGAGTCATGCCAACCTCATGCACAACGGAGGTAAACACACCCAAGTCTCATAGCGCCAATGGCAGAACAGACCCTCATGATCCATAGACTTCCAAGGCCTTCTTTGTCAGTCTTAGGTCTGGAAGCTCAGCTGAAATGTGTTCAGCAGCATAGCCACATACAAACACCTACTGACGCCAGTGTAACAAGGCACACTGTCCCAAATCAAACCCAGATCTCCTTCATACAAAGCAAGAATTGTACTACTGGGCTGCCAATGCTCTTGGTACCACTAGTGTTATGTCTGCCACCCACTGGGCATTCAAAGAGTTGTTAGAAAGAGGAATGAAAGAATGAGTGGAATGAACATGAAGAACCACAATATTATCTCATAAGCCTTAAACCATGAACAGTCTATGATATGAGATGAGATCTGAATTGTCCAACAAGGCTGACTGTGGTGAGACCAAATAGCCCTAGAAGCCACAGCTTCACATTGACTCCAGGCTTCCCATACATCATAAGACTAGGTGAGGGCCTGTGGAAAGAGACAGATCGAAAGATGCTTGGTATGGAGAGAGGGCAGGGTGGTGAAGGTGCAAGGAGATTCTGTGGGGAGTGTCTCAGGCCTCACTTGAGACCCTTCAGAATCCAATCAGTATCAGCCCTTTTCCTCTAAGGTAAAAAACAGCCAGAGGCAATACAGGGCGAGCCCAAGGTCACTCTTAAGTGACTCTTT